TCTCTCTCTCTCTCTCTCTCTCTCTCTCTCTCTCTCTCTCACACACACACACACACACACACACACACACACACACACACACACAAACACACACAGAGGATAACATACCATTACGCTCTGCAGATCCAGGATCTAGTGTAGCCACAGCTTCGGGCAAGAGACTTGCTGCTGCTGCTGCAGATGTGCGATCGCCAGCCTCTAGAGCATTAGCCAATTGCGTAAGAGCAGCACCTGATTGCTCTCCACACTGCATTCCAACACGTGGTGACGCACGAGGCAAGCCATTTTCTCATTTCATAAATGATGCTTTGCTGGAATGTATGCATGACAACAGATAAGGTGGGGATGGCAAGAGAAGATGGGTGGGAGGAAATCCTCCGTCCAACAGCCGCTTCTGGAAGACACTCTGCTGATGACATTCAATTTGCCTGCTTCATGACCAATGCTCAACCCTGAATACAAAGAACAGACAGCCATTAGTCCCAGCCATGTAACTTCACATTCAATTTGGTGATCAGCACCGATGCAATCATAGTATTAAGGTGTGCCAATGGGAGGAATATGGTAAGCTTACCACTACAGTTCCCAACTTCCCATGCTGGTTTCGGCAACTGTGACGGGAACCAATCAGGGGCAATTAGCGATCAAGTAACACTGAACCTAACTTGAAATAGTAAATGGAGTGCCAATGAGTGCGGGAGTCACGACGACTGACAATGAACGACGATGAGTGCCGATGAGTGACAACAAGTGACAGTGAGTGATGACAAGAAATGACGAGTGATGATGTGTGACAATGAGACAACGAATGAGAGTGAGGGAGTGACAATGAGTGACAATGAGTGATAATGAGTGATAATGAGTGATAATGAGTGACAATGAGCGATGACCAGTGACGACGAGTGATGACAAGTGACGACGAGTGATGACGAGTGAAATTGAAATTGAGTGGCAATGAGTGAGATTGAGTGGCAATGAGTGAGATTGAGTGGCAATGAGTGAGATTGAGTGGCGGTGAGTGCTGACGAGTGACATGCGTCATCATAAGTGATAATTGATAATGGAGCTGCGGGTGCATTTGCCACATCCATGAGCAGACACACGCACTCGAAGATCTCAAATTCTTTAAATGCATCATCACACTACAGCCATTTCGTCAAAATGGACATTTTTTATTTTTTGAACAAAATTGAAACCGACTACATTGGCCCCAAAACAAGTCAAAAGTTTGAGCTCTTGAGGGTCCCACGTTCTTAAAATGCCGAACCTCCTGGACGTATCTGGACTTAGGTGGAGTCCAGAGGGTCCGGCGTTTTAAAAACGCCGGAACCAACCCATGGATGTATCTGGACTTCACTGGAGTCCAAGGGGGTACGGCATTTTAACAACGCTTGTTACATACTCCAATGAGTATGGGCAGAACCAAGGATCAACCAATATAGGATGAGTATTTATGCAGTGGAAGTCTGATAACGAACTGACTCACATAGACTGACTCACATAGACTGACCTACATGGCATCACTCCACACACATACAATCATGAGATGGTGGGGTCTGGGTCATGCATAGAAGATACCCAGATCCCGTACACACATGCACAGATGAAAGGTGGGAGGAGAGACGAAGGAGGTAGGA